GACCCGAGGAGAGGCTCCCGCGTCTGCAGGGGCGTGAGGCACACGTCCAAATTTTGTTCAATTTTATAAATTGCGTCAGACTGTTGTTGGTCACTGACCCGGGTCACCGTTCGTGGCTGCTGTTAAATTTTTTTCACGGTCAGCTTGGCGGAGGGGGCACTTTTTTGTAATTTTTAAATAAATTTAAATTTAAGGTATCGCTGCCCCACCCCCCAGCGGGCGCGCGCGCGCGCGCGCGCACACACACACACACACACACACAGATAAGTGTATGAGCTCAGATTCTGGCTTGATTTACTATCCGCTCTTGTTCCCAAACTCTAGCATTCATCCCTTGATTCAAGAAATGTTTCTTGGGTGCCTCCTGTGTGCCAGGCACTGTGTAAGGTGCCGGGGAAACAGCAGGAACCCAAGCCGGCAGGGTCCTTCCTGTGTCACGCAGGCTCTTCCAGTGCCGGGCAGAGGCACTAACAAAAAGGATTTCCGCGAAGAAAACTGTCAGCAGCGGTGGGTGCTGTGCAGAGAACTCGGGCAGGGTGCCGTGCAGTGAGGGGCTCGCTGCTCTGGGCCGGGTCACTGGGGACGGCCACTTGGAGTGGGTGGGATCTGAATGCGTGGCAGGAGTCACCCTCCACAGGCAGACCCAGAGCCGTCCAGGCAGCCAGAGGTCGCAGGCTGGGTCCCTCCCCGACGGGGCCTGAGACGGAGGCCTCCACGCAGAGCAGTGTATGTGGGAGCTGACCCGGGAGCAGGAGTGGGGCGGGGGGACCCGGGCAAAGCCAACACAAGTTGGCCAGTTAGGGGTGAGCGGTCCTCGCCTGCAGGCCTCTCTGAGGAGCCTTAGGAAGCACACCGCAGGTGTCTGCCCAGGGTACAGAGGGGAAACTTTATCCATCAGCTCCTGGGCACCACTGCTCCAGAGCGGCCCAGGGTGTCCCCGCCCGCACTCTCACATTATGCTGTGTGAGTGCCAGAGGGTTCCCTGCGCTCCGCATGCCCCATGTCGGAGATGCCCTGGGAAGTAAGAGGTACACACCACAGGCCTGAGACGAGGTGTGGCCAAGTAGGTTGTGCACAAAGCCATCCAAGCTTGCGTGGAAATGGTGCAAGCTTTTTCCTCGGTGGCTGGAGGAAGCGGTGGGGCTGAAGGGGTCTGAGGTGCACACAGGAGCTGTTAACACAACCCCACCCAACCCGGCTCTGCTCGGATCCGCCCTCTTAAATCCAACCCATTGCAGTCAGCACCTCCAAGGGGGTGGGACCTAGAAGGACTGAATGCAGCGGGATCAGAAGCAGCTACCCCTGTGGTCAAGTTCTGGTCCATCTGAATCACCTGGAGGGCTGGTCCACACAGACCGTGAGGCCCCAGCCCCAGAGTTTCTGATTCAGCACGCCTGGGGTGGGGCCCAAGAATCTGCATTTCTCACAATCCCTGGGTTACGATGCTGCTGCTAGTGAGGGACCACACTGCGAACACGACTAAGCTACAGTCCTCACTGCAGCTGGTCCCGAGGCTAGAACTGGACTCATCCCATCCTAACTTTCCCTCGCCTCTGGCCAGCACGTCAGCTGGTCTCGGTTGGGTAGCATGACCCAGAACTTGATCACCAAGGGATCTGAGCCTTCCGCTGCCTCCAACCTCAGTATCATCCCCGCAGTGGGCTAGGACCAGCTCAGGTGCCCTTCACTCCAAGTCATGGTTAAATGTTCCCGTGGTAACAAACTGTCCTTTGTTCCTGTCCCATATCTGTCCCTCACCCTCCACCCCCAGCCCGATACCCTGACATCCACTCGCCCACATCCCCCTGGCTTCCTGACAGCGCCCACCTGCCAGGCTCTGCAGCTCCTTCAATGTCTGAGCTACTTCCTCCCAGACACAGGCTGTTTCTCTGCTCAGGTGTGGGGGGACCTGGCCGGTGGAGAGTAACCAAGATACCAGAAGAGGACCTGGAGCATCATCTCTCATCTGCCTCCCTAGACCCCGGCAGGGACTGCAGGCAAGGGAGACCCATGTGAGGGGGAACCCCAGTGTTCAACATTTTCAGGCTCCCCACCCTCTTGCTCCTTAGACCCCTGTCTCCCACCTCTTCCTAGCAAGGCCCTGCCTTCGATAAAGGAGAGCGGTCAAGGCTGAGTATTTATCTCCCATGCAGCTCGACCACCCTCACAGCCAGATCCTGGCCTCTCGGTCATTTCCTCTGCTGCTGAGGGGGCTCTCCTGAGCCTGTGCTCAGAGGCCCTCGGTTTTCACAGGATCCTTGAGCACCGGCTGACTTAAGCCTGTGAGTTACTTTCCTCCCAGCTTCCAAAGCAGTTAATGCAACCCAGTCCTTATCATCTCCCCGAACTGTCCAAGCACCACAAGTGCACATGATCCAGTGCTCATGGTCCACCCCTGCCTGTAGGTGACCGTCTTGGCAATAACCGTGCTGCTCCTGCGTGCCGGGCATGCCAGCACCCTGCTCGCCAACAATGTGTTAGGTTCCCCTGATACCATCATGTTTTAGTGGCGTAAAACAGCAGAGATTTATTATCTCACAGCTCTGTGATAGAAGTCCAGCATGGGCCTCATTGCGCTAAAATCAACGTTGTGTTTTGTCTGGGCTCCTTTCCTGAGGCCCCTGGCTTTTTCCTGCTTCTAGAGATGTCCCACATTCCTTCTCTCGTGGTTCCCTCCCTCTGTCCTCAAAGCTGGCATCTCCCTGACACCCTTCATGGCAACTTCTGACCACAGTCCAGAAGGCTTTTAAGGACCTATGTGATTAGGCTGGGCTTATCCAGGCCATCTAGAAAGTTCTTCCATCTCAAGGTCTTTAACCTTAACCACCATGTAGGGTAACATCCTCAGGATCCAGAGATGGTCATCTTTGGGGGCCAGCCCATCATTCTGCCGACTACACACAGCAATGGGATGTTTGCATGACTGACAAGTAAACCATCTCTAACCTCCTACCCTGAGGGTCTACTTTATGACCATTCTGGGTATCAACTGTCTTAGCCTGAATTCTCCAAGACAGCAGAGCCTGAGACAAAGGCCTGCAGGCAAGTCATTTTTTTGGGAAATGACTCCAGGGTGCAGGGCACACAGAAACAGGAAAGCCAACGTAAAGATGCATTGCTGAATTGGCCACAGGAAGCTGGTCATTGATTCTACAGGGCCTTCTGGATGCTGCTTAGAACTGTCTGCCCAGGGGATGGAAGGAAAAAGCCTGTATCCACCAGCGAGTGTCCACCACTGGTCAATGGTGACCCCATGGGAACCTAACCCCTCTGCACTTCTGGGATGGGAAATTTTGAGTAGCAAATGAGTTCTGCAGGGATCCCACAGCACAGTGAGGCTGAAGTGGAGGGTGTTAGCCGGAATCTGAGGGAAAGTGCTCTCCTATTCTCTGAGACCCTGGTGAAGATCACAGGGCAGCGGAGGTCTGAGTGGGGCCCAAGGTTTCTGATGTGTGGGTCTAAGGCTCTAAGGCTGGAGTACACTTGGCATGTTTGAGGAGCAGAGAAGACAGGTTGAGTGTGGTACTGAGCTGAGAATGGCACTGGCAGGGACCAGATCCCGTAGGAGCATCCAAGCCTGAATGAGGAATGTGACGCCTGGGGTGAAAAAGTGCTTACTACTCAGTAAGGCAGTCCAGGCAGCCGCAGGATGGAAGCAACTCAAGCTGGGCCCCAAAGATCAACCAGATTTTGCTCAGGTGGGCTGGAGCTTTTGCAAAACAAATTCAGTAACTTTTTAATTTTTTTTACTACTGATGTGTGCACAAAGATAGAATAGGACAAAAAAGAGCTCCTCGTTTTTCACTTGTAAACATTTCCATGAGATTGCATTTTGTTATAAGCTAGAGCCCTGATGATATAGAAACTTCCTGAGGATTGGTTTTCATAACCTCCAGCATCAAATCCCTGCCTTTACAACAATTTGGAGGAGGTGTGTGGGGGGGAACACAGGTCAACTATTTTCTTCCACCACCAATTGGGGGGGTGGTGAGGAGCCTATGATTCAATGAAGAGCAGTTGTTAGAACTTTTAGAGAGAGTATTCACTTTTGTGTCAAGATTATGTAGCTCTAAGTTACTTTAAGATCCTGCTTCATCCTTGCTCTGTTGATTTCCACTTTACTGTTTCTTAGGACATTTCAAACAGCAGAGGAGATGAAGTGTTTCAACTAAGTCATAGAAGGATCAAAAGTAATGTCGTTCGCATCTATTTGAGTTTCGTCTGGTGTTGATCTTAGACTAGTGTTCATAAAAATAAAAACCCAGAGGGTGGGGGAAAGTACACAAACTCAGTTGAGAAGGGTCAGGCTCTTATAGCCGTATGCATTAGGGTTTGAGAATGTGTGTAAGTGACCTCAGAGAGCACTGGCCTTTTTCTGAATGACCCAGAGGAACAGGAGACTGTCTCAGGAAATAAATGGAATAAATGCAATCCTAAGAGTTGACAGGACTCTCAGAGATTACCTAATCCAATGTTACTGCCAATGCAAAAATTCTCCATGAAACTTCTGGGAGCACCAGCAACATGTAAACGAGACCCTTAAACTGGAGGCAGTAGCTAGTAGTAGGCAGTTCTACATGGGCTATAAAATTTCCTTTCAATCTTTAATTACCAACTCTTAAAATTTTATTTCTAGGAAAACAAAGTAACTCTCTTCATAAAAATTTATAGTGCCCTGGCTGGTGTGGCTCGGTTGGGTGTCGTCCCGTGCATGGAAAGGTTGCCAGTTCAATTCCTGGTCAAGGCACATGGCTGGGTTGTGGGCTCCATCCTCAGTAGGGGGCGTGTAGGAGGCAGCTGATTGATGTTTGGCTCTCACATCGATGTTTCTCTCCCCCCCCCTTCCTCTAAAAATCAGATTTTTTAAATTTTAAAAATAAAAATTTATAGCAAACCTCATACATTCTTACTACCCAATGTGGGACTTACTTTGTCTAAAGTGTAATAATAAATTACCAGTATAAATCCCTCCACACTAGACAAAAAGTTCCTTGAAGGCAAGACCATGTATCTTGTATTTATTTCTGACTTAAGTGAATACCTTGCTTACACCGCGTTTTTGAATGTTTGCTGAATGATGACTGACTGAACTGGTGAATGAATGAATTGAAATAACACGAATATTCACATTTTAAAATAGATTATTAACTGAGTTCTTGCCTAAGTGTTAGTTAAGGAGAGAAAGAACACTCAAACATCTGATGCATTTCTCTAAAACTTTATTCAGTTATTCACCTCACTGTCAATGAGGTACGCAGTTAATTCTGTGCCGATAGTACAGGCCTGCCCATCGCTGGCAATGGACAGAGAAAACCCATCTTCTGACACCCAGAAGTTAAATTACTCTTTTCAGAACATACCGAACTCCCAATACTTGTGAAAGTATCACATGCACCATTTCCCATCAATCTTTAATCTGAACTTCCATTATTAACTATATCAGTGGATGTTAAAATGAAGTCATTTTAACAAATTATGACTGTACAAAGTACCACCAATTAATATCAGACAAGAGTATTTTACAAACACTACATTACATATTACCTTGCAGTTTGAAACATTACATTTCATATTTATGTATGTTGAGATAACAGATTTCACAGAATTTAACAGCAAATAAAGTTTTAAAAATTGAATTCTGTACATTAGTTCCAACTAGCTCTATTTTACAATCTATAAGGCTCATGTCAAAGTTCAGCACCAAAAATATCTACAGAACTGTCTGGCCAGGCTTATTCAGACCTTGTGATGGTTTTTTAAGGTGAAAGTCTGAGAAAATGCTTTACAGGTCCAACTTCAAGATCTTAAGCGGAATACTCATTTTGGCTGATCAAACTACATAAAAACTTGGGTTTTACCTTTTTATTTTCATTAAACAGTTTAAAAAAAAAAAAAATTGAAGAGTATTTACACCACGAAGTTAGGTTGTCAGTCTTCAGGCTGAATTTGTAACACTGACACATCAGAAGTAACTTAATGCCTTCCCCTATCCTTCCTCTAAAAATTTTTAAAAGGCAGCCAGAAAAATGTTTTATTTATTCTTTGAAATAAGGTACAAAGAAGGGTCGCAGCAACAAACTCCTCACACACAAGTTCCAGTAACATCTCAGTGTTTTCAGCCTCACGCAGCATGACTGACTCGGAAGCAGACCTGGAGCTACACTCAGCTCCAGTGGACCAGGCTGTCCCTCCCAGACGACACAGGCCAGCATCTCTGCTCAGGGCCTTTGGAATCACTCATCACTGCTGCCTTCATATAAAGCCACATTCCAGTTTTCAGAACCAGAGCTACCATCCCAACTCTCTCTCTCTCCAGAATGTACAAAGTTTAGATAAAAAGCACGTTTGTCTCGCCACTTTCAAACAGGGTTTGTGCACACAACAGGTAAGAGCACGTTCCTTAAACTAGAAACTTTTTTCGAAAACCACAGGTACTTTCAGGAATTGTTTGTTCAAAGTATAAAATTCTTACACATTCAAAAAAATTTAAATCGAAGGCTAGTGCCTCTGCCCTTTTCTGCCAGAAGCACACGGCTCATCAAACCACATTTAAAAACAAAGCTTCATGCACAAGAATGGCCCGAGAGGTACGAAGTTTACAGAGCCCTTAACATCGTGGAGCACATTAAGCAGTGGCTAAGCCACAATAGGAAGCGTATTAGCAAACTGAGCAAAGACTTTCCCAAGAATGCAATAGTTTTCCAGGCTCCATGTCAGTCACAAAATCTTAAGCAACATGTAATCCTTTAATAATGTCCCGACATCCCATTCCCAACCGTTCTCATTCATACCCAGCCCCACCCAGCCCACACACGGGACTCCCCCGTGCAGAAGTTCTCAATGCTCCCCGTTGCTGATGACAGCAGCTTCCGGCTCCGCTGCTGTTCCCGGGAGTCTGGGCACTTTCTTAGCAGGACTTGGAATGTGCTAAAACCAAAGGGAAAGAGTTGTCTCGGGTTGGTTTGTTTGCCACGGTGCTAATTAAAGTTCCAGTAGAAAAACAGAGAGAACAACTTTGGAGAGGTTTATGCTAAATATATTCTAGATAGCTGTTCATAGGGGAACTAAATAACCATTCTTTCCTTTATGGTGAACTTATTATACAAATGTCAGTGTAGCAGGAGAGAGGCCAGAGACCCACCAGACACAGTGCTTGACTTGCTACATTTTGCATTCCCAACTCAGACACTAGAAGCTTGACCTGCTGCCTAATTTGTATAATACAAGAAGCAGGACTGTGTTCACCAAATTTGTGCTGAGTGGATAAAAAAATGCTTCAAGGTTATAAAGTCCTCAGTTTGACACCTGGCTAGGATCCTGGCCAAGTCACTTAACTTCTTGCAGCTTCATCTCTAAAATGGGCATAGTATCACTTAGGGCATGGTAGTTTTTATAAGGATTAAATTAGAAAATGTAAATAGAGTACCTAGCACAGCAGGAATTCAAAGCATAGCTGTTACTGTTACCTCTTGGCAGTATTGGAGACTGATTTGTCAATGGTCTGAGAGAAGAGAGGTGAGAGCAGCGACACCTGCCCCTACGTCTCCTACACCTTCTCTCCCAAGAAGTATCACAAATGGGCCTCTCACTAGAGTCACCATCCTTTAAATTCTGGTATTATTAAAACCTAGTGTTCACTATGCATTTCAAGAATGCTAATAATTTAAGTGCAAAGACTTTATAAAATTGGAAAATGGCACAGCTGGAATCCAATCCCAGAGCCCTGCTCTGAATTTCTCTGCTTTACTAACATTCCTTTAAGTTGCTAAGTCTCACTTAGGCCCCCTAAGCCCAGAGGTCTGGGGATGGAAACATCACCCTGCCAAAGCCCAAGACCACACACAACACGCTTCATGTACCTCTGCTGCTGTGTTTGAATGCACGAGTCCTACTCCTTCGTCCAGAGTGTTGGCATTGGGAGAGGGTCGCCGGGCATAAGTTCTCCTGTGCTTTTCATCCACTCGAACCAGGTACCATGTTCCTTCAAAGAGTGAATCTACAGGGCTCTGGGGAATGCAGTTGACTAAAGGAAAGGCAGAGAATGTGAACAATTAGTTATGACATTCAATTTACATAGTAATAAACTGAAAAAAGCTGCCTATTTTCCTACAATTTCCACCAACATCAGATTTGTACTAAATGCAGCCGAGATCTGTGGGTACCCTCAACTTTATGTGACACCTTTCATGCTGCTACAGCCCTCCCACAGGCTTCGGGGTGTGTATGTATGTTAACCATCTGATATTTTACCCAGGTGATGCGTGTCCTCTCTGAGCTTCATGCTTTCTGCAAAGACAGTTGGTGCCACACACGTTCTTGAGTCGAGCCTCGATTTAAGGTCACTTAGACTTGCTGTTATTTTATCAAGAGCAGACCCTAAAATAGTAAATAATTCCAACATTAAAAGACTAGAAATAGAATGCCCAAAGCCTAAACAAAATGTTGCCAAATGGAAACAAACACAACTTCTCATTTCTGGTAGTACTACTGGCTATTGCTTAGTTAAAAGATAAGATGGTATCTATCGCCTTGGCTGGTGTGGCTCAGTTGGTTGAGCATTTTCCCGTGCACCAAAGGGTCGAGGTTTGATTCCCAGTCAAGGCACATGCCAGGGTTGTGGTTGGGGTGCATACAGGAAGCAACCAACTGATGTGTGTGTGTCTCTCTCTCTCAAAAAAAAAAAGCAATAAAAATAAATTTTTTTTTAAAAAAAAATATCTTTATTGATTTCAGAGAGAGGAAAGGAGAGGGAGAGAGAGAGATAGAAACATCAATGATGACAGAGTCATTGATCGAGCCCACAACCCGGGCATGTGCCCTGACCGGGAATCGAACCCCGATTGCCTGGATCCTAGGTTGACGCTCAACCGCTGAGCCACACCTGGCCGGGCAAACATATTTTTAATAAAAAAGATAAGATAGTATCTATCTGACACAGCTTCCTGTGACCTCTGACCAGACACCTGTTCAAGGTCAGCTAGTGCACAAGTTAGGAAACAGGTGAAGTTTGAGACTATAAATAACATGTGTGTAGGCATCCACGACAGTTTTTAAAGCAATGTCATGCCTGGCCGGCGTTGCTCAGCAGTTGAGCATCGACCTAGGATCCAGGAGATCGAGGTTCAATTCCCGGTCAGGGCACATGCCTGGGTTGGGGGCTCCATCCCCAGTTGGGGGCATGCAAGAGGCAGCGGATCAATGACTCTCTCATCACTGATGTTTCTGTTTCTCTCTCTCCTTCTTCCTTCTCTCTCCAAAATCAATAGATATAGTAAAAAAAAAAAAAAAGCAATGTCAAGTCTACCATCACTTTCTCTGTTTCTGCTCCTTTTAGCTCCGAGGAGGCACAGAAGTTTCCTTAAATATAGCCAAGACCACAAAGTTGGGAAAACTAGGTAGCTTAGATATTAGTGAACAGTAAGAAATGATTTGACACTATTCACTCATGTGATCAGACTCAATCATTAAACACTCAAAAGCTGCCTGCATTAAAAAAATATGCTTCTTTTCCCCTGACTACGTTGAAAACATGAGGTAAAAGATAGTTATTTGCCACAAAATGAAAAGTCAAAACCACTACATAAAACATGTTGAAACTGGTATTTCTCTCAACTTGGAAGGGAAGACGACATCCTCATGCAGAGAGAGCCCCGCCCTTCACCCAGTTAAGGCAGATGTTTAGACTAGAGTACAAACCCGGCTGTACTGAAAGAAGTAACGAGCACTGAAATGCAGGAATGCCCTATGGGACAGACTCGAAGGCTCGCCTGAGATGCTTGCTGAGTTAGCCTGACCAGAGCAGGTCCTGCCAAGACTCGGTGTTTACCTGGGGTGGCATCCTGGGTAACTTTAAGGGAGTAGAGAGTGGCAGCCAAGCCAGAGCCATAGGAGAACACGCCGATCCTCTTTCCTGCCAGCTGCTGGGGCGAGTACCTGTGCAAGGAAGTTATAGGGAGTTTAACTGATCCAACACAACGGTGTGTAGGAAGCATTGAGCTGGAATAGAGACTCTTCCTATAGCCTTAGGGACCTAACCTGAAGCTTTACCCTGGCAGCAAGCTGACTCACCAAGCGTTTTCAACTCTTGGAGAAAGATGGGGCATATGAAAGTGATTTTACCATAAAATAAGTTACTTTGTCAACCAGGGATTCATGGTTCAATTGGAGGTTAGGAATAATAGAACCATGAGGACAGTGGCCAGAACAGCCAGTGTGACATGAAATACTCTGGCATACCCGTCACCTCGCCCCATACATCCTGCAAGTCAATGGACAAGAGGATAGAGAGCCCCAAAGTAAAATATTTTTCTGTGCCCTGGCACCATATTCCCCAAATAAAGGGAGCTAAGGAGCTGAACTCAATACTCACTGTGCTAGAACAGAGGCAAGGGAGCCATACACAGAGGACGTGTACATGTTTCCATTTTGATTTGACACGAGCAGAGATGCCTTTGTCTTCTGATTAAAGAGCTCAGAACTGGCCTTCATAAAGGCCTTTTCCACATCTCTGTCGAAGTAGGTATCTTCCAATTTAACATCCCTGAAAGATTTTTAAAAAAAGACAGTTTTATTGTTCAGAGACTCTATTTTTATTGCATTAGATAGTGTGGATAGTGTACCCAATTAATATTCTAATCTGCAGGTGTGTCTGATTCTGTGTTTTTTTGTTGTTTTTTTTAAATATATCTTTATTGATTTCAGAGAGAGGAAAGGAGAGGGAGAGAGAGAGACAGAAACATCAATGATGAGACAATCATTGATCGGGCCCGCAACCCGGGCATGTGCCCTGACTGGGAATCAAACCCCGATCGCCTGGATCCCAGGTCGACACTCAACCGCTGAGCCACGCCTGGCCGGGCTGATTCTGTTCTTTATAGTTACATTTGTTCAAAGCCAAGTGGCAGCATGCTAATCACTATGGAGACATCACAGCTGTAGACAGAGCATCCATTTCCTCCAAGTTTTTTATAATCAAGGTAAGACAACTTCATTCTAATGGGTTAATATACACTAAAGCACAGTTGTCACCAAACAGAATATACTAAGTCCATGGTAATGTCTACTGAGTTAGAAGAGTCATTACATTACAGAGCCAAGTCTTAAAAGTTGAGACCTTTATCAGATGGAGGGAGGACACAGGAGAGGAGAAAGGGAATGACTCCAGCAGGCACAACACGCCAGGAGCCTCAACAGTGGGGGAAATGCGGAAGGAACATGGATGCAGACAGTGACCGTGAGCAGGGTGAATCTGGGGTATGGGCTGGAGAGAAGCGGGAGCAGAGCGAAGAGGTAAATGCAGGCGCTCATGGGGCATATCAGCATGCGAGGAAATCAGAGAATCTGAGTGGAAATGAGGAAAGAATTCACGGAGGTGAGCCTCCACTTCTCTGGGACCCAGTTTCTTCACTGATGACACAAATAGGCTAGACTAGATTACTTCTAAGATCCTCTTGACTCTAAAATGTTCAGGACTTTCTTACAACAAGGAAGATAAATTAAAAAATAAATTAAAAAAATAAGATAAAGTGTTCAGGACTGTACAAATAATAGTGTAACGGATAGAAAAATGCTCTCATATAGAAGGAAAAAAATCACACTCCTCGTACCCGAAGGCTTCCAGGCCACTGTAGACACTGTTTTTATCTCTGTTCTGGTCATTCAGGAAGTCATTCAGCAGCATCCGGGCAAGAGATTTCTGAACCAGTTTACAGTAGGGTGAGTGGAAGATCATGAAGCTGAAGTCATTCAGAGTAAAATCGCTATCATTTCCCTCTGAAAAAAAGAAATCCAAAGACATGAAATTCATATAAGCCACTAACTTCTAACTTCTGAAGTTTTATTTTTGAACAGGGCTAGGATGTTTTTATATCTTTAAATCACAACAAAAAATATACTGTACAATCAAATACCTCTGTGGTTTAAAATGCATATCAAAAAGACACACAGAAATAAAATAACACACACTACCATATTACAGGTTTTCAAAGACTCATAAACCATTAGTGGATGGTGTAATCAATTTAGTGGGTCAGGGCCAATATTTTTTTTTTAAATCTTTTTATTGATTTCAGAAAGAGGAATGCAGAAGGAAAGAGAGAGAGAAAGAAACACCAATGGTCAGAAAGAGTTATTGATTGGCTGCCTCCTGCACACCCCTTACTGGGGATCAAGCCTCTGACCTGGGCATGTGCCCTGACCGGGAATCGAACCATGACCTCCTGGTTCACAGGTCGATGCTCAACCACTGAGCCACGCTGGCTGGGCAGTATTTTTTTAATCTTAAAAAATTAGGTTGTTTTTTTTTTTAATGAAGTAGAGCAGAAAATAAACTGTGTAATTTGCATTTTGGATAAGCAATTCCATGACACTTTTGTTTGGGTTTAGCACACATAGTGTAAAGTATATTCCTTACTGTAGTCCTAACAGTCAGAGAATCACTGTACTGTTGAGAAAGAGTCTGACATTTTACAGACCATAGCAATGCTACTTGTCCAGAGCCGCTGGGTTTCTGAATGTCTGGTTTTAATCCTCTCACAACCTCTATAAAGCAAAGCCGGGCTTTGCTATGGGAAAAGTAGACTTCATATGACACTGCGCTTTAACGGCACTGACTCAAACACTGTGCTTTTCCCTGCCTCAGAACTTTCTCAGCTGAGCTGTCTCACTCTGGAAAAGATATGCTATATCCGGAAAAACTAAGTAGCTACATTTTCCCCCAGTCAAAACACATCACAGGTTTTCAGGCAGCTTTCACCTGGCCAGAACACAGGGCTTGAATTAATACTTGAACCTGCTGCCCCCACTGAAGTTCTGACCGTCAGAACGCTGTTTTGTAGACAACGTGCCACGATGTGACCACCTGTGTCCACATCTGTAATCGAGCTACTGGGAGAAGTTTCCACTCTTTGAGGTGGCCATCAAAGACATAGACTGCCTACGGTTTAACCAAGTGTCCTAAAGCATGCACCTGAGGTTCTATCATCATCATTTTTATCCTAAAAACCTATGCAGCTTAGAGTCTGAAAACTACTAAAAAATATACCACTGGGTGGGGGGTAGAACTTTTTCAAGGTTAAAGATGGAAATTAATGACATTAAAAAGGCAAATATGAATCCACAGGTCAAGTCAAGTGGGGGGAGGGGAGTCACACTTCGGAAACTTATCTTCACTAAAGTTTTCTCTGGATCACAGCTGCAAACTAAAACCTTGTGGAAATACCTTTCACAAAAAAGCAACAAAATTCAAGTTACTTCCTTTTATCCTACTTTTAGTTTTCTTACTGGGGATAAGTCGAACGAAGTACATTTGCAGAACTATGCCTCATTTCCAAAGCTTTCCTCTCTTCCTGACGCACACATTCCCCAAAACCACAGGAAAATGCCACTTGGTGGGCTAGGAAGAAATGGCTGAAGGACACTGATGGAGGATGCCCATAGCAGTTCCTTGCTGAAGACACCCAGCACGTGGTCCCCAGAGACCAAGCCACGGAGAAGGGACAGACCCACCTTTCTGCCACTGGGCCCGGATCTTCCTGCGGTAGACGGAGTAGCAGCGGTCTAAGGCACTGAGGTAGCACTGGATGGAGAGCTTCCCGTCCACTATGGGGTATTCGGACAGCATATCCGGCTTGTAGAAGTCATAGGCATGCTGCATGTGGGTGCCGCGAAGTCCTACGAGAAGCGAAAGGGAACATGTCCAGGATTTCTGCCTGATTCTGTATGTCAGTGAGCATCACCAGGGCCTGCCTTAGCTAGTCGACTCTCGCCACTTGCGGTATAAACATCACAAGGTGAAGCCAATTGTAATAAAAATGCAACGGTATCCATAACAGACCTAAGACCCCCGGATATACATTTCATGCAAGTTCCATAAATCTAACTGGGAGACTACAGTTGCTTTACTGAACTGAAAACAAACTTGCCACTTACTGTGTGACTACAGGCAGGTACTCCTTTAAGTTATTACTTAACCTGTTTTACTTCTAGTCAAATAGGAATGGTATCATTCACCTCATACAATTGCTGTGAAGGCCAAATATGATAACACATAGAAAGCACTTAGGTAGTGCCTGCAGTGAATAGCCACTCAGTAAGTACTGGCTTCTATTTTCAAATTCCTCAGCATATTGTGCTAATGAAAAAAAAACCAAAAAACTTTCCCACTCACCTCGTTCAAAAATTAAAGGAGCATTTGGTCCAATGAGCAGAGCAATGGCCCCAGCTCCACCTGTAGGTCTAGCATTTCCTGTGGCATATACGGCAATATCTCCTGCAACCACCAGGGCGTACCGGCCTGAAAAACATCAGTAGGACAAAAGAAGGTGATTCATACTAGAAATATCAAACATGGACACTGAAGTGCTGCATTTTCCCCAGAATATGCTTTCCCATCTTTGGTAAAGGAAGAAAACAGGCCCTGGCCAGGTGGCTCAGTTGGTTGAGCACCATCCCGTACACCGAAAGGTTTCAGGTTCAATTTCAGTAGGGGCAAACATGGGAGGAAACCAATTGATGTCTTTCTCATGTCAATGTTTCTCTCCTCCCATCTCTCTAAAATTAATAAAGAGTACATATATTTGGGGGAGGGGAGGGGAAAAAAACAGCCTAAGTTTTGATAAGATAATTATCCTCTATGATAAAGATAACAGGTTTATAATGCAGATGTGTTAAAAGTCACAGCTATCTTCCTGAATACAGTCCACCGAGCATAAGCGGTAATGTTTGCACATGGCATTAATGAAAAGGTCACTCGGACCTACTCATCCTCAGGGACTGCTTCTTTGGAACAGAGATGTAACGCACCATCCCAAGAGCTGGACTCGATCCAGTTCACAGCATTGAAGACGGCGGCTGTGCCTCCATAGCAGGCGTTCGTGGTGTCTATTCCTTCTATGTCTGTGTTCCCAGACTCCTCGAAGAGCTGCATCAGATTGGTCTTCACTGACTTGGACTTGTCAATGATTGTCTCTGTTCCCACTTCGAGCCGCCCGATGCAGTCATAAGAAAGGCCGTTTCTCTCCATGAGGTTCTGAACCACAGTCATGCAGAGAGAGTTGATATCTTCTCTGTCCGTGCAGAAGCCCATCCTGGCCTGGCCCAAGCCAATCGTATACTTTCCAGCATCTACACCATCGTATTTTTCCAACTCTGCTTGGTCAACATATTGAGAAGGAAAATAAATTTCAAGGGCAACAATTCCCACATCTTTTGGCCAACAGGCTTCTGCATTCAAAGGAAGTGACCCAGGCATGGTGAGAGAGCTTTAAAAAGAAAAACAAAAAAACAAGTCTTAGGTTACAAACTGTGAAGTTCAAATTTGAGAAATCGACATTAAGAATCCAACTATCACCTAAAATATTACTAAGTTTAGCACATTTTACTCAGGGCAGTCGATTTCAAATACGTGGAAGTACAACTATAGTAAGAATGAAACATTATTCAAATTATCATCTTTCAGAAAGGCTTGCACTTTATTCAAAACTAGACATCTTTAGACTTAAAGCATGATTATTACAAGCAAAGGAAACTCCACCGAGATTCTTCCAGGTTCTAAAGACTGCACGGTGAAATACAACAGTTCAGAATATGGCCCACACATTGGAATTCAAGCACGTGACCTATTCCTGCCACCCAGAGTTTAAACAAGTCAGTCAGTCATTCATCATTATTCACAGCTACTGACTCTGTGGGACTTTAAAAATTGTCAGATCAAACAATATGACATTCTGTATTGATCTAAACAATCTCAGCAAGTAGAAAAGCCAAACTCTAGAAGTCTACCAAGCCAATCTATACATAAATACTATGATCCCACCCTTCCAAAGAAGCCCCCTACCCAGAACCCAAATGATGAAAACTTTAAGCAAAGACAAGTTCCAGGACCTATCACAGGGTCAAATGCCAATATTTTATACTTTCTACAGCTAGTGTATAGGTGATACATGGTTATTAAAACCACAAGGTATCACTTAGCTTCTAAATTAGGAAAAAGGAAAAGTGATTTAAATTTGAAAACTGGAAATCCACACATTATTAATATGGCAACTAACTCTTAGCTAACCCTCTTAAAGCAGCCCTTCCCTCTTCAAAGGGGTACTACAAGGTTGGACACACTGTAAAGACTTCCAGTAGTATCTAGATATACTTACCAACAGTAAAACAAAACAAAACAAAACAAGTGCTCGCCATTGAAGGTGCCTATGGGCAAGTCACATAAACTATCAGAGCTTCAACTTTTTTAGAGGCTGTATTAATCAGGAAAACAGAAATTATTCTTGATATTTCAAACAGAGAGAATTTAAATACAGGAAAATGTTTACAAACTTGCTGGCCGAGCTGCAGGAGAGAAAGGGGACGTGGTTGTTCAGATCCTCCTGACTCCCATTCCCACTGGAGCTGCTAGAGCCACTAGTACCAGCCCCTCTAGCTCAAGCTAGAACCCGGAGACCCATGCCATGCTGCTGGCCCTGACAAAACACAATGGGGCTTCCTCCCACCTTCCAATCTCCCTGGAGACTGTCACCAGCAGTCTAACCCAAGTCTAGCTGGTAGACAGAAATGTCATTGTCAAGCTTTGAAGAGGCCACAGTCCTTTTTTTAGAGAAAAAAATTCTTTCCATACACAGACTTTTACAACTCAATTTCTGTTTAGGTGTCACATAATTGGATGGTGTTGCTTAAGTGGCAGATCCAACTCTTCAATGACTAAAGGTCTTGGCTTAGGAGAGTTACCTGGGTCAAAATGCTCCACTAAAAAAAAAACAGCAGCAACAAAAAAACTCCTCCACTAACCTATAGTACTTGCCAACTCACCACTAATTTGACTCCTGAAAACAGAAAGTCAAATCCTGTACTTACGTCATTTGTCCTCTGCTACTCTGCAAACTCTGGAATGGCCTCAGGTATAATGAAATTGCTGACTACTGCCACAGTGAGCTAAACTGCTGAAATTTGCAAAATCCACAAAAACGAGCTCTACAACTAGTGTTTAAAAAGATAAATAAATAAAGAACAGTCCATATACGAGGAAGCCCTCCTACAAGCTACCTTATAAGCCACCAAAGCAGAAGCAGCAGGATGGACCGACACCTTCCCTGCCTGGCCCACAGGTTACCCTTCGGACTCTTCTCAACTCTTCAACCTGCTCTAAACATGCTGGGGCACTGTCACCTTCCCTGCCTGTCCCACAGGTTACCCTTCGGACTCTTCTCGCCTCTCCAATGTGCTCTAACATGCTGGGGCACTGTCACCTTCCCTACCTGGCCCAATGGCTTGTATGCTTTGGAAATAAAATGGACAGCTATAGGTCATCTTCTGAAGGTATAAACAAGTTTATAAAAATTTGCCATTAATGCCAGGCTTTAATTCCAGAATTAATCCACATGCACCATATTTACGATAATTGACTACTTCTGATTAATTCTTCTATTATGGAACCTACAAAATAAGGTGTCGTTCTTAAGCCTCCTAGAGGTTACATAAGTGACTTGTTTTATTTGGAAAAACAAATGTAGCTTAACTAAAATAACCCGCACATTCAAGCTGAGTCCCGACTCTGAACTTGGTATGGGAAAATTTTCACGTTGTCTGACTCACTCAATATTGCTCATCCTCTTGGCTAAGTTTCCATTATACCCTTGGTGAAAAACCACCTAATGTGAAATACTAAGCTTTTGGTTAAAATTAAGGAAGAGTAAGGTTAAAGGGAAAGAGGAAAATTAATGCAGGGAAGTAATCGCTTCCATGGCATTTCAAACAACAAAAGTTTGATCCAGCTCTGGCCTAATCCTCACCTTTAACTTCCTGTTAAGTGTACGCTCTGACACTGTCCTCTCAAATGCTCTCTGAGGCAGGCCAGGCAGAAGGTAGACAAAGAGCGAAGGGAAAGAAAAAGGCTAACTGAAGGTGACACACTCACACTATGGTGTTAACCGCATGTGGAATGGGGTATTTCTGGTTAATTCATTACTCTATACCATGAACTTTTCTAAATAGAATAGTTGAAAAATATGACAATTTAAAAATTTACCTGCATATCTTTTTAATCTTTCGCAGATAAAAAGCAACTTCGTTATTTTTCAGAGCATTGTACTCGTAATAAAAAAAAAAGGCTAAGCAGGATAGTAGGGAGTCCGTATTTATAATAAACTGTAGTTTTCTTTAAACAGGGTAAAGGTGCTCTTTTACCACAGCTTGGTACCCTTTCAAAGCTGTCTTCCAACGAGAAAGCACCAACAGCAGACTCAAGTCTGCTCCAAAGCGAAGGCTCACCCCTCCCGCGGGACAAAAGGAGCTCCAGGTCCCATTTCCTAGGAGCACACAAGGGACCAATATGATCCTCTGAGAATCTTTAAAATCTGTAAAGGAAGAACTGGAAAAGGGGAGAAAGGGAAAGGCAGGGAAATGAGCCGAGGATGCCTATGCGAACACAGCCTGACCCAGCTCCCCGAGGAGGGACTTCAGCATCGATCCCGAGCAGCTCGAGGCCAGCCTCCTCTGAGAGTTCTCTGCCTTCCCTCTCTACCCATCCCAGGCTAATCTTTCCAAAATGCACATCTGGCCTTTGTCAAGATGATACTGAAAACCTTCCCAGGAGTATTCTCTATTATTTAGGGTTGGCCTCTTTGTACTAGACAAGGAGCTTCTAGAGAGCAGGAATTGTGTCTTGTTCAACACTTGGCATATGGTGGAAGCTGAATGGCGAATAAATTAAATTCTACTAGAGCTTCTAGTCTAAAATCAGTAATAGGTGTAGGAAATTCTAATACTGAAACACACACACACATCATACACACAGCAGAATCATAAGAGGCAAGAAAACAATGGCCACAAACTTACAATCACTGTCGAATGCCACACAATTGCAAACATCCATCCACAGCCCAGCTATGTATCGTGTGAGGCTGTAATCTAGAGCACTGTTGGCATACAGGCTTACTTGTGATTTTTTTCTGATTAAGCAATAGGCATGGTTATATTTTATTATCTAGATTTTTAACCATTAGTCTATTAAACACAAAATGAAGACAGTCTCCTGAAGCACTATGGCATTAACTAATATTTCAAGCTAGGGTGTGACCCTGTACGAGGTTTTGTGGCTGCGTAGTGCTTACAGATGGTTACTTGCCCTGGGATAAAACTTAAATTCTCCCTTCCATCAAGAGGACACTTTCCCTTAGCAGCACGACAAGGCACCATACCTGTGTGAAGGACAAAGAACTTCAGTCTCCAGGTCTGTCACTCTGTTTCCTCCTTCAGGCACTAGAATTTCAAATAAGAACTTCATTTAGAGTCATAAATTACCACACAAATTCAAATAACGACTTCAAAGTGAGTTAAAATAAACGGTTCCTTGTCCAATTACAATATGTAGTGCAGAATTTGACTTTGCTTAGAAAAAATGGTACTTAAAGCTTATAAAAAAACCTTCCCTCCCTTTATTTTATTAGCTTTTACAGTGATAGGTTCAGTCCTGGTAATGAACTGACAAGTTCATATTCAGGCTTTCAACCAAGTATGATGCTAGAAGAGCTGTGCTCTTCTTTACTGAATTCGGATTTTCAAGGACTGGGAGAAAGTAATATAAATAAGTTGTACTGAGCTAGCAAATTTCCAGAGTAAAGACATACATTCAAGAGCTTGCTCAGCACTTAGGAGTTTATGGCTTTAACAATAATTTGTGCCTCTTTGAGCCTCAATTTCCTCAACTGTGAAATGGAGCTAATACCCACCCTCCTGGTTCCCTGTGAGGGACTGTTGAGAAGATAAACTATGTAACACAAAGGACCAATGCATTGACTACTATCCTAGTTCTCAGGATTTTTCAAACAAAATACCTATCTTTCTGGAAAGATGTAATTGTCTTTATTTATTCTTATGCTCCTAATTTCCAACTCAGCCACCTTCACCCTCCAGAACCTTTTAGAGTGATTTCCCCCTTGATGCTTGATTAAACAGACAAGCATCTGACATATCAAGACAAAGGAATATCAAGCTTCACCAACATTTAAATTATGTGGAAATAAAATGGGACAATGACCTGCAGCATTTTCTTTAGTCCATCTGTGTTGTAGGATTGTTACTTGAGACAACAGTTCCTATGATTAACAGTTTTCTTTGTTGTCTAACTACTGGCCAATATTAGCTCAGAGACCACACTGAGATGCTGTTTAGAAAGCTTTACTTCCCTTACGTCTTTAGATCATTTAAGAGGTCTTCACAGACTTAGTACCTTTTACTTCATTATGTTTAGCCTCACTTCCCAAAATAATAAACCCTGCCCTGGCTGGTGTGGCTCAGTTGGTGGAGCGTCACCCCATACAGCAAAAGGTGGTGGGTTCAGTTCCCAGTCAGGGAACATACCCAGGTTAAAGGTTCGATCCCAGGTCAGGGCACATATGGGAGGCAGCTGATCGATGTTTCTCTCTCTCAAAATCAATTTTTAAAAAAAGGTTAAAGAAAATCCTTAATTTTAGAGAAAAAGACTACTACATTCCAAAAAACCAAAAAACTTCTGATTAAAGTATTAAATACACACTTTGAAAAAATAACCTATTTTTTGTTCTTTATTATCTCACATTATGCTTTTGTAATCTGCAAATTAAGCAGACCATGGAGACCAGTTCTCACTGGTGGGGGAAAAGCGTGATTCCCTCTGCATGTTGAGACTACTTAAATAACAGTAACATTTCTTCTTGAAGCCATGTATGTACACGTATTCCACACTATTTATGCCAAGAAAGTTTCCCCTGAACCGCCAACATTCCTTCTTTCAATTTTGATTATTTAAATAGGGGAAGGAGAGCATTTGAGATGTTGCTTCCCAGCATATGTCGTCAGTCTGGCTCAAATAAACTCTTACAAAAATTCAAAAAATAATAAACAAACTGGGCAGGAAGGTTGGGGGAAGGGGAAGAAAA